TCTGAGTTATTTCCTATGCCTCCTATCATTGGATACAAGCGAAATAGAAACTTAAATGAGCTCTTAAACTCGAACAGATAGCATATCAATTAACTAATCAGACAATCCGTGATAGCGAAAAGCATGCAAAGCAGATATCAGGGAACAGGTGGCTGTCAATTACCCAACACTCCAAACAAACAACCAATGCGCTTTCTCATGCCACGTGCATTAACTCTTCCAGCGCGACTATGTGACGGTCGCCCCGCCCGATTCTAACGAATCTCAACTGCAGCTCTATCTAAGAGCCGTTTAGTACAACATGTACCACAAAACAAGACGAGCAAACAATTTAAGCTCGCACCACAGAGAATATTAATTCTCTTTGATATTGTCTTATTCATTGACATATCCAAAACATAAAGCTTTTTATTCACAAAGCCTAATTAGTGGAACAGTAACAGAATACATGTCCACTACAAATATTATTGCATGAAACACCACCATGCCAGAGATATACAACTAAAATATAATAACTTAATTTGGGTTGGACCTCTGATGAGTGGCAGACCCTGGAAAATTCCTAAAATGTGCCCAAAACACCGATTCAGGTGTCAGGTCCTTTCCCGTCGGCACACGTGGTGCCGGGTGGCAACTTTATCTTACACGATATCAGGGCTTTGCTGAGCTGCATGAATTGGTGAACGCAGTTGATCAGTGCAATTGCAAAAATCTCAGTTCAACAAGTTTTGCACACAACGTTTTCTGAAAACGCACGTGTACAAAAATTCGAAGTCTCAAAAATATACACGAATGCACACAACGTTTAGTGAAACGCCTGTGAACAAAAAATATGTATACTTGCAAATAAATTAGCACACAACGTTTAATTTAAACGCACGTGTACTATTCACTTAATTTTATTTACAAAATTTCACGACAAATAAACATGGCCAAATTTGTAGGGACCTCGTGCTACAACGCTATGTAAGCGCCCGAGCACGACGAGTTTCCGCTAAAATATCACAAAATGACCTTGAATAATTTAACAGATTTTGGTAAACACTGAATTTACCGGAAAGCAAAAAATGTCGTGCAAGTGTAGTATGCAGTCATACTGACGTTAAATTAACGCCGATACAACTAATTCATCTACACAAAATTTTCAAATTTGCAAAACATGTAGTCAGTGGAGTAGGATTATCCTACCAGCGACGCCAATAGTCGTGGAACCGAGTTGGTTAAGACAATAAACTCATATATAGCAATGTAAATGAGGCTGGCGCCTTACCTTAATCAGGTTTTAGAAATGATATTTTAAAAAAGAAACAAGTACAAAGATTATTTCAACCTTAGAGAAATCATATTACCTTTAATTAATCTAGAATAAGATCGAAATGCTCACTAGCATGATATTGAATTAGAAGTGATAAAATAAATCTATTACAAAAAGGTTAAAAGAAAATTAATTTCATGGTGATGGTTGTGGGTCCAATTGTTTTCTTGGAGGGAGAGGGAAGTTATTGTTATTATCCGACTCTGCAAATTTGGGGAGGGTTTGCATCCACTCCCTCACATCCACCCCCACCACCTATAGATCTGCATAGTGACTCTTTTACTGAAGACTGGATGTGTGCAAAATATGTAACTTATAAATGTATTGATATCTTCAGTTTAAAATAAAAATATAACTTTGGCTATATGCTAATCATTTTTGAATTTAAAAAAACCCAATAGCTTCATGATGCTTTTATTTGCATTTACCTGTTTACTGAAATACATTTGAGATTTTATAATTTTCCTATGAATTACTGACCTCTTTCTCTTTTTTGGTGAAACAAGTACAGGCATGTCATTTTCATTGTCATTGTCGGACGTATTTACATCCTCTCCCTGGGTAGTAATAAATTATACATATAGTTAATCAAAATTGGTCTGTATTTAATATACCACAACAGGATATTACAATATAGTATTTAAAATTTTATTTTCATTTTTGTATTTTGAATTATATAAAGTGTTAACCTCAAGTAATGTCACTGATGGACGCACAAAAATGGCCTTTCTTGCAATAATTTGCTTAAGGAAATTGGCATCTAGCTCACCACCCCCACTGACATGGGGCTTGACAAGGCCTGTTCCAACACACATCAGGAATTCTAATCTAAAAGAAGTTAATGAATACCAAACTAGAAACAAATCTTTTCTAAAGCGCAAACATTATTATCAAAAGTTGAATTGACTGTTAGTTTTGTTCTGAATTTACCGCGTAGGTTTTGTGTTGAATTTACTGGTCAGGTGGCAGAAAATACAAAATTTACAGCAAACATTTACAGTATTCTGCCATCCGGTAAATAAAAATCTTACAACGTGACATACATGTAGCATTTAAGCATAGGTAGTTGTGGATAGCCACCCCCGTGGATAGCCACCCCCACCCCACCCGCACCCCTAATCTCTGTTGAGATTCTGCTGGGCTAGATATTTGGACTGACGCCCAGCAGAATCTCAACAGAGATTAGGGAGGGGTGGGGTTCCTGTCCACAAGTACCTGTGTACTTGAGATTAATTACAAACCCTATGTACCAAACACGACATAGCACAAGAAATTCATTACAAATGCGGTATATTTAATTTTTACTCATTTGTGTGACTTACTTAATAGACTTATCCAGTTTAAAGGCTGAGTAAATGCTGTCCAAAACCTCTTCCTCATCCCAATCTTTCTGAAATACCATTGCCGAAATGACATGGCCTCTCTTGTGAAGCTCCTCCTTCATTTGTCCCCTCGGAAGTTGCGTTGACTTGGGCCCCGGCAAGAGAGTCACCTCTTTCATAAAGATGGTAGTTGTCTTCTTTCTATAGTATAATTTACATGTAATATAAATGAAGAAAATGTAGTTGAACAGGGCAGGAAAAATTGTCAACTTTTATTCCTGCTAAAATTTTAAGTGGCTATAGAAACCTCTCCCCTCCCAACACAGTAAATATTTGCATCAATGTTTGTTTTTTGGCTCAGAATAATATTGAAATGATGTTGATGATAAGATTAAAGACAATAGGGTCATGAAATGGGATAATTTGTAATATTAAAGATTTCCATCCCGAATGGGACCAAATTCTCTACCCTTGAATGTCTGTCAAGTAGTAGTACCTAATACTTTGATATTATATTTTTTGAAAACCTTTAATAATGGAAAAAGTTGTCCGTGAGAAAGTTTTTAAAAATTTCATTATTAAGCAGTATTTAATTTATAAGGATTGCATCGAAGTATATGGTGAAAAGCGTTTTTTTTTTCTTTTCAAAATAAACATAAATCTTTCGGTGGAAAGATGCATCGATTGACAATTGAAAATAATTTTTTTTCTGGCTAATTTTTTTTTAATTATTTTAAAAAGGGGGGAGATAACTCTTACCAAAGTTCAAGGTCATACATTAGGACACATCCCACTATACATAATAATGGTAATAAATTGGAAGTATGTCTAAATATTTACATTTCCAATGTCTTTGTCTGAGATAAAATTACCAAATGTAAATGTAATTGATTTCCTCATGAATGTTTTGGCGCGGTTCCAAAAAAACACGTGCAAGGCGGGACAACACCTAGAGAGAAGCAGGCTCAAGGAGCCCTTGGATTGGCGGAATCAAAGCATGTAAATATAAGGAATAACTGTTAGATTTTTTGAATTCATGAAGATGATCAATGGATTGGCTTGCGTGATAATTTTATGCATAAACATTTATGCAAATTATCAAACAAGCCAATCCATTGATCACCTCATGCGCTGCATTTCATTTCCGGAAATATGCATGGCATTTCCGACATTTTTAGTCCCCTACCGGTGAAACCGGAGGGGACTATAGGTTTCCTCTTCGTCCGTCCGTCTGTCTGTCTGTCTGTCCCCGTCAGTCTGTCCCACTTGGTTTTCCGCACTTTTTTTCTAAACGCTTGCAGATATTGATTTGAATTTTGGTACGTGATTGTATCTTATTGAGTTACAGATCAAGTTTGAATTTTGTTTCGCTTCATTGATTTTTGACATTTTGAATATTTTTCATTTCCATTTGGTTTTCCCTTGTTTTTTCTAAACGCTTGCAGATATTGAGCTGAATTTTGGTACGTGAGTGTATCTTAATGAGTTACAGATCAAGTTTGAATTTCGTCTTGCTTCATTGATTTTTACAGAGTTATGGCATTTTGAATATTTTTCATAATCGCTTAATTAAGATCGGGTTCAAACTGCGCTAATTTCCGATTGTCGACAAAAATATGATGCGAGGAAAAGACGATGGATAAATGAGTTGAATTTTCGTCTTGATGTTTATTATTTTATTAGATTTAAAGCATTTACAACTTGAAAATCTTTCAGTTTAACCTTGGACATGACTTTTGCACATTAAAAAATGAAATCCTGAAGATAAAGGGGAACCCGGTAGGGGACATGTATTGCTTATGCAATACTCTCAGAATGCTTGTTTTATTTCATTTCCGACATTTTTTGTTTTCATTTCCGACATAATTTCTTTTTCATTTCCGGAATTTACCTGTGCGACAATTCAATGTTTTCTAAGTAAAAATCAATGGAATTTTGAAAGTATTTATACCAAAATATTGATAATAATAATAAAATCATATATACATAATATATGCATACATATATGTAGCACCAAGTCAACTTAAAAGAGGTCAATGAATATAAATAATTTTCACCATATTTATTGTGCACTAAATTAAATGTCAGTGACAGCACCATACTTATGTCCAAGTCACCGATAGATTAAATAACGCAATTAGAATTAAATGATTTATTCCTTTAAAATTTTCAGAAGTAAAGTTATCAAATCTATAGGTACTACATATTATGAAGAAGAATTTATTTCAAAATCACTGGACACTAACGATAAAAACACTTCAAAAGCACTCAATGATCTTTCTGAATTGAAATCAGCATTAGAAAATTCCATGAAGCAGAACGCTAGACTCACAAATGATATCCTTGACCTTCAATGCAGATCAATGCGAGAAAATTTACTATTCTACGGAGTAGATGAGGCACCAAAAGGGGAGCAAGAAAACTGTGAAGATATTGTTAAGAGAATATGCTCTGCCAATTTAGAACTAGAGGACGACATTCTAATAGAAAGGGCACACAGAATCGGCAGAAGAAACAACGTAAAACCACGCCCGATTGTAGCAAAATTCAACAGATTCCCCCAGCGTGAACTCATCCGCAAAAATGCCTTCAAACTTAAAGGAACACATCTGTCGATCGGTGAACAATTCCCGAAAGAAATCCAGGAACGGAGGAAGGGCCTGTACCCCATTTATAAGAAGGCCAAGGAAGATGAAAAAAGGCATCCCTTGTTAAAGACAAACTTTACATCGATGGAGAGTTATACATAGATGCTGGATCTGAAACACCGGAGTACGAGTATCCTAAATCAGAGGGGGGTGCAAGAGGATTCAGAAGAGGTGGCAGAGGTGGTAGGGGAAAATAGTGGGGTCAGGAGAGCCAAGATGTATTACGAATCATAGGATGGAATTTACACGGAGGTTTTGACAATAAATGGAAAGATAACAATTTGAGAAATTTTTTGTGTACGTATGACATAATTTGCCTATCTGAATGCTGGATTGAAAAGGATTATATAATCGACGATCCGAATTTCAAAGCGTTCATTTTTCCTAGGAAAACTAGAACTATTCATGGTGGGGGGACTATTATACTTATAAGAAATGAATATATATATACATTACTTTTGTTGAAGCTGTTTATGATACAATTATATGGCTTAAAATAGATAAAGATTTTTGTAATCACGATAATGATATATACATTGCTTTTACATATTTCCCCCCTTACAATTCTGTATTTTTCAAAGAGAATGAAATTAATTTATTTGAGGAATTAGAAAAACTATTAAGCTTTTATAATGTAGTGGAGTTGTATATTTTAATTAGAGTTATCTCTCTTGGATCTTGGATGGGGTGCGCGGTTGTCATTGACAACCGGTGCTACCGTCTGGGATCCGGGCGTTTCCGTTCCGCGTCCCTCATCACTTGGTTCTTTTTAATTATCAGATCTAGACGTTTTTAGGAGTTTGTCTCCAATTTATTTATTTACCGGCATATTTATAGTATTACCGTAATATTCCCATTGCTGATTAGCTGAATCTATCTTATAGGTAAATATCTTCACTACATTTCCCTTACGTTTCATTGTTGACTTGAATTATTTTGTTATTTGTTGATTAATCAAATATCACCTATTAAATAAATCAGTCATTTATCATATCTGAATAATTGTTTTAGTTCTTTATTAGTTATGATCTAGTATCTCGTGATAATCCGGGATAATTTTAAGTGGACTATACAGACCACTGTTACAGAAATTTTGGGGGCTTCGTCCGCGGGATACTAAGATCATGTCGTTGTTTTGTGAATTCCTTTTTCCGATTTCAGATTGAATGTCTTTTTAGAAAATTGGTGTGTTATTTAGATTGTATGCAATGGCTTCACGTTTATTTTCTAGCCTTACGGCTCTTAGTACAAGTTTGCGAAATTTGTTTTCGCCTACAAATATTGTAGAGAATAATTTGACACAAAATACAAACAACAATGATGTTGTGACGGAAAACGTAAGTGAAAGAAAGGTTTTACCTTGTAGCTGTTACTCCGAGGCTGCGAACAATCAAGATCAGTTTCACGACGCTGTTGAATTTCAGAATCAAATTCACACAAATAACAACAGACATAGAGGTTTGTCCTCATATGAAACTCAAAATCACCATCGACTTCAGTCACCAAGAAACAATATTTGTCAAAAACAGTCCGAGACAGAATTTTGTCCAGATTTTCATTTCAATGGTTCACATGAAACTCCACACAGTGAGAATTTTCTCTCAGAAAATCCATATGAAAATGAACAATCACATGTTTTTCAAACATTCACACAACAGCAAGTAAATAATCCTGACAAAAACACGAAAAACAATGCAAGGTTTCCTTCTAGTCAACGTGGTTTGTTCCACACTGATCCGACAACTTTTAGTCACGTGATCAATAGGGTTTTCCCAAGGAATGCAGAAGCTTCCGGTGTAGCATCAATTCATACACCAATACATTCAACCCCGTGTTTTGAACACAAAATACAACGCCCAGAAATTCCCTCTCAAAATTCACCAAATGTTGTTAGAAAAGAAAAAGAACCTGATAAGTTCGACGGGAAAAATGTAGAGTGGCCCGACTATTTAACACATTTTGAACAGGTCGCTTTGTGGAATCAATGGTCAGATGACGAGAAGGCCATACAGTTAGCCATGTCGCTCCGGGGCACCGCGCAGCGAATACTTAGTGAATTAGCACCGGAACAATTATCAAATTTTTCGTGTCTTAAATTTTCTCTGGCACAGAGGTTTTGTACCTCTGAACGAGAAACCGCACATAGATGCGAATTTAGGGCTCGAAAAAGACTCAGCGGAGAATCCGTTTCAGATTATGGGTATGCGCTTAATCGTTTGGCAAATCGTGCGTTTCCTAACATACCGATGTCAAGTCGCGAAAATTTAGTCATTGACCAATATATCAGTGGTCTCGGTCACATAGAACTAAAGAAATATGTGCAGTTTGCACACCCCTCGACTTTAGATAAAGCCATTTCCTTGGCAGTAGAGTTTGAGGCGTTTGACGGAGCGCATAACAAGACATTACTCAAACCGCGTAATTTTGAACAAGATTTTTTCTTGAATCAATCTAACGTCCGAGCCGTACAAAAAGAAGTCATACAGAAAACTCCAAACTCTTATGCGTCAGATGAATTAGTTTTATCTGAAATCACAAAAACCATGAAAGAACTTCAGTCTGCGGTCAACGAATTAAAAAGTGCTAACGAATCCAGTTCAAAACTCAAAAATACCGTGAATTCAACCATCAGGTGTTATACCTGCGGCAAATCTGGACACATTAGTCGAAAATGTCCAGAAAGACCTCACAATTTCCCTCAGCAAAATGACAAAGCTAACTCATCGCATCAGTTTCCTAAGAACAACCCAAACGACACCGGACTGTCCTTGCGACCGGAAGTTCAGTCCCAGAAGCATTAACTAAGTCTCCGATACGGTCACACGGAAGCATTAGGCTATCGTCCGTGACAGGTGCTTGTTGGTTTGCAAATGTATCAATAAAATCATTTTGTATGCATATGTTGATTGATACTGGGTCTGCTGTTTCTTTAATATCAAAAGAAGTTTTAGATAATTTTGATCTATGTGATCAATTTTTACAAAGGGTGTCAACTGAGTTAAAAACAGCTGATGGAGAACCGTTACAGGTCTATGGTCAAACTGAAATTACATTTATTTTGGGTGGTAGAGAATTCAGTATACCTGTAATAGTGGCAGAGCTAGGTGACCTTTCAGGAATTTTAGGTTTAGACTTTTTGTCAGAAAATGAGGTTATATTTGACCTTAAAAAGGGTGTATTGAATTTTCCTGAATTTAAAGTCCAGTTAGAGAGTGAGGATAATTTATCCTGTGCACGAGTATCTCTCGATGACGATACAGTCATATCAGGTTCTACAGAGACTTTTGTAAAGTGTAATTTAGGAAACTCACGTTTTAGATGTTTAGAGGGTATAGTGGAACCTCATTTTGATAAGGGTCTAGATCAGAATATCTTGATTCCTAAGTCACTGGTAAATGTCAAAGAGGGAAACATTCTATTTTCAGTTCTAAATCCTAACCCAGAACCCGTGCAAATAAAGAAAAACACGCAAGTTGCGACAATCCAAAGCATTATGAATGCTACTGATTTGGTTAATAAGAACAAAAATTTTACGCATACTGACGTTGACGTTACAGAAACTAAATGCTTGCCAGATCATCTAAAAATAATGATGGAAAACGTTTCGTGTAACATTACAGAAACCGAGAAAAGTGAGTTGTCTTCGGTTTTGAGCCGATATGAAGACATATTTGTGGGTTTAGATGGTAAACTAGGGCGTACAAACAAGGTTGAACACACTATAAATACGGGAGAAAGTAAACCTATAAAATTACCCCCCAGACGATTACCACTAGCCCAAAAAGAAATCGCAGAAAAGGAAATTAAAAATATGTTAGACCAAGATATAATCGAGACTAGCAGTTCTCCATGGGCCTCTCCAATTGTTTTAGTTCAAAAGAAAGATGGTAGCACGCGTTTCTGCGTCGACTAACGTAAACTAAACCATATAACAGTAAAAGATGCCTACCCCTTTCCTCGTATAGACGAATCTGTAGACGCGTTGTCAGGGTCTAAGTACTTCTGTACACTAGACATGGCAAGTGGGTATTGGCAAGTGGCCATGAATGAAAATGATAGGCATAAAACTGCATTCGTAACACATAAAGGGTTATACCAATTTAAGGTTATGCCTTTTGGCCTTACAAATAGCCCTGCCACATTCGAAAGATTGATGGAAACTGTGTTAACCGGATTACAGTGGGAACGTTGTTCAGTTTACTTAGACGATGTCATTGTCTTTGGGACAACTTTTACAGAAACTTTATCTAATTTGACCAAAGTATTTGACAGATTTAGCGACGCGAATCTAAAATTAAAACCTAAGAAATGCATTTTATTTTGTGAAGTTTCATTCTTAGGACACGTTGTGTCAAAAGACGGCGTTAAATGCGACCCTAATAAGATCCGCGCAGTACAAGATTGGAAGACCCCAGACAATGTTACTGAAATAAAAAGTTTCCTAGGACTTGCTTCCTATTATCGGAAATTTATACCTGACTTTTCGACAGTGGCATATCCACTTACTCGACTGACTCAAAAGAACGTTCCGTTTGAATGGGATAATTCCTGCGAAAATGCGTTCCAAACACTTAAGAAACTTTTAGTTTCTTCGCCAATATTGTCGTATCCAACTAGTAATGACACTTTTGTACTCGATACTGACGCTTCCAATGATGGAATTGGCGCCGTATTATCTCAGATTCAGAACGGTGAAGAAAAAGTCATTGCTTACGGTAGTAAAACGTTATCTAAAACCCAACGCAGATACTGCACAACTTACCGCGAGTTGTTGGCCGTAGTAATATTTGTGAAACAATTTAAACACTACCTATGGGGTAGAAAGTTTTTACTAAGAACGGATCATTCGTCATTAAAATGGCTCCGTAATTTTAAAGAACCCGAAGGTATGATAGCCAGATGGATTTCTGTGCTCGACACATACGACTTCGATATACAACATCGTAAAGGTTCTTTACATGTAAATGCGGACGCTATGTCCAGAAAACCCAGACGCAGATGTAATCGAGAAAACTGCGAGTGCACCGAAGCTAGGGTTCATGTTGTGCGATCTTCAAATTCAAATAAAAATCAAAACGGTGTTACGACTAACTGGTTAGACCAATGGTCTGATGATCATGTTTCAAAACTCCAACTTGAAGATCCTTCTTTAAAAACAATGATCGAAATCATACAAAACCAAGTAGATACGTTAGAACCCGTTTATAGGACCAATCCTGAAATTCGACAATTATGGAATTTGAAAGATACTCTTGTATCAAAAGATGGTATTTTATATCGTCAATGGTTCAGTATTCCGGAAAATATCCATATATTATTATTAGTGGTACCCAAGTCCATAAAAAAAGAGATTATGTATCAATTACACAATCAACGTGTAGCGGGACATTTGGGTCGCGACAAAACTTTAGCTTCTATACGCGCTAGATTTTACTGGCCTGGTATGTCATCTGATGTAGAGAGATGGTGTCAAAATTGCACTGTGTGTGCACGGCGTAAACCAGGACCAGGTCCAGGCAAATCCCCGATGCAGCATTGCCCCGCATACCGACCATTACAATGCATTGCCATTGATATAATGGGCCCTTTACCCATGACAGAAAAACATAATGAGTATATAATGGTCATAGGCGATTATTTTACCAAATGGAAAGAAGCTTTTGCTCTACAAGACCATACTACACAGACAGTTGCAGATGTCCTAATAAACGAATTTATATGTCGCTATGGTACCCCATACCGTATTCACACTGATCAAGGCAGAGAATTTGAGTCTCAATTGTTTTCTGAATTATGTGAAAAATTTGACATATATAAAACCCGAACTACTCCTTACCGGCCTCAATCAGATGACATGGTGGAACGATTTAATCGTACCTTACAGCAAATGCTTTCCTTATTTGTCAATAAACACAGAAATGACTGGGATGACCATCTGCCCTATGTTATGATGGCCTATCGTGCCTCTCTTCATGAAAGTACAAAATGTTCTCCAAATTTATTAATGTTAGGACGTGAAATAGACTTCCCTATTGACATAATTGCTGGTAACCCACCAAATCATGAAGAATCATGCATTAATGAATACATTGAATTTGTAAAAGAAGCTATGTCTTCTGCATTTCAGCATGCTGGAGAAAGTCTTGAAGGTAGTTTTAAGCGTCAGAAAAAATATCATGATCAGAATATAAAACACAGAACTTTCAATGAAGGTGACCTAGTTTGGAGGTGGTATCCTCCTTGGGCAAAGCAAAAATTAGGGTTAGGATGGCGTGGTCCATATAAAGTCAAAAGGAAAATCAGTAATGTCACATATCAAATACAGTGTTGTAATACAGATGTTTTAGTTGTGGTTCATGTTGACCACCTTAAACCCTATTAGTCGGAAGAGTCAGATTTATCAAATTATGAGTTTTACAATACCTTTGAGGTACAGACCGAGTATGACTCGAGTAGTGAATCACAAGAAATTATGACAAACGAACAAGAATCCTACAGGGAATGTTCCCAACACACAAGACATGGTCGTAGAATTAAACCTCCCACTCGTTTTTCACCATAAATTACAGTGTACATAACTAGGCACTTGCATGTGAATTGCATTAAATTTTCAGTTGATTATTGTTATACTAACATATCATTTTATCATGGCATATTCATTTCTCATCTTCACCCTCATTATTTGTTATGTGATAATACAGAGATGGAAAATTGAGTCTTTGAGACTAATCACTTGAAGAAATTGTAACTTAAAGTTAAGATATATGAATTCATACACTCACCCCTTGAGGTCGTTTTTGTAAACAAGGGTACATGTATAAATAGTAGCAAGTATACTCATGTACATGATATTGTATTCATGCATGGAGTAATTCAAGTTATTGTTTCGAAGTACAGTAGGTCATAGTACCTGAGTCATGACTGATATATTTCAGTGAAGCATAGTGATCAGATTATTGCAATCTGTGTGCTTATACATACATAATATTTGCTATATTTGTTTGAACATAGGTTTGCTATTTTACAGTTATTGTATACTAAATAGCTTGATGCCTACATAATTATACAGTTATTGTATACTGACTAGTTACAGTTATTGTAATTGTATACATACTATTTAGTTACCTACAAATAGGAAATGATTGATGAGAAGAGACAAGATATATTCTCGACATTGAGTAAAATATATGACCTGTTGTCATTGTGACATTTTAGAAAGGTCTGAGTGTATGCCATTCATAGATTTTTCCTTTGGGGTTATACATTTTGTTCACAGAAAATTTTTTTAAAGAAAATATACAATACACTTTATTAGTGTTAACATATACTTAACATGGTAAGCGACATGTTTGCTATTTCCTCAAACTATGTGTTTATTTATTTACAGTTTCATTTGGATCATCCTTACAACATTTTCATCATCATCATCATTATCATCATCGTTTGATCCCATCCTTATCATCATTTTCATCACCACCACTATATAGTCATGTCAATTATGGACACTGATGTCCTTGACCTTTTGGTACACGATGAGGATCTTGCGGAACTTCTGGAATCTTCATCCTGCCCCTTTGAGTTCCATTCCGGAATGAATTGTCCTGTAGTGTCCTGTGGCTTTACCTCCTTTACCACCAGGAAGAGTTATGCCAGGCACTGGGAGACGAAGCACAAGCCCCATCATGTTATTTTCCATTGTTCCATCCCAGGATGTAAATCTACTTGCAAGAGAAAGACAGATATGCGTTTCCACCTCCGCAGTATTCATCACTTGTCCCAGCTGCCTCTTGAAAATCATCTCCAGCTGTGTCGACATGAACTCAAACCAAATAGTAATTACATCGATCCGGGTAGTCTGAAATTTGTTTCTCGTCTCCCAGTTGCTCCGACCACCAGCACCCTGGCATCTGCTCCGCCACAGGCACCTGCGACCTCATCTGCTTCTTCCGCAAGTTCTTCTACCATCAGTTCATCCTGTCTGCCATCCGCCACATCAGCATCCGCTATCATTTCATCAGTTCAGCCATCCATCTTTGCTCCATTGCCTCCTTCATACGATGTTACACCATCCGTTGTGTCGTCTGAGACCTTGCCATCCACTTTGCCTTTCAAGTTCGGTTCATCTGAAATTCCTTCGTGTCCGCCAGTTGCTCAGCCAGACGTTCCTCCTGTACACACTACAGCCGCGACCGCGAGCCAGACCGAGGATTACGCATTCCTTTCCTTACATTCCGTCCCTGTGGAGAAAACAGATCTTGAACAGTTTGTATTCAATATTGATGTTGAAATTGATCGTTTAATTAAATTAAAAGAAATAGCCAATGCAAGATTGAATGAGAGGAGTGAGCTTTTGCGTGAGAGAGAGTTGAGACGAGAGTTAGAGAGAGAGAACAGGAGACTGAGGAGTGAGATCGACAGTTTGAAAAGGGGTGAGAGTGAGCGCGAGAATGCATATTTTTCTAGAGATGAGCGTTTGGAGATGGTTGAGAGTGCGAACGGCAGTTTGAATTGTTATAGGAGAAATAGTACCAGCTTGTCTAACCGTCTTGGTAAAAAAAGTTGTTCTAGAGCCTTACAGGATTTTTGAAGAATAAATGTTGGTTTTTGTTTTTATATATGTATGTCACCTCAACTTATCTTACCATATGTCATTCATCATCATCTTCATGTTTTCATTATTCCATTTTCATGTCCATCTTCATATTTTTCTTCCTGTGTTGTCCTGGAATTATATATATATACATGTACAGTGATCTATCGGAGAATCCATTATATATTCTCACTGCATTATCATTTCATATTTATATTTCATAATTACCTTGATGTTGTGCCGGCGACTTTCATTCTCGTACCACGTTTTCTGTGCCTTAATTCCGCCAGTGTGTCAGTGACTTTATTTCCGGTGATTCCTATTTAGACAGTCGTATCGTGTCTATATGTGCATGGACAGTTTGCACGAGGTTGTGTCGAGAACTATAGTTATAGTTTTAATAAATTATTTATTTGTCATTTGAATTTGTGCTTAAAATTTAAAGACAATGTTGTGATAAGTATTATTTTTTATTGTATGTATACCTGAATATATATGTACAGATAAATAGTATACAAGTATGTGTATTATTATGTGACAATGTGTTGATAGTTGATACGGAGATATGACATATGTGCATATTGTTATAGAGTTTAACCTTATGTGATATAATTTATTACATAGATATCTGTTGTTTTGTAATATAATGTTGTTGTGGATTAACTTAAATTGTTGATTGTTTTACTATTTGAGCGAGTATCTGAGTATATATGCAGTATGTATATGTATAATTACATATGTACTCTTCATATTTTTGAGAGAGAGACTTGAGTGATGTATTTATTTGCATATTTGTTGTTTTAATATATTGATGATATAGTCATGCGTACTTTATATCTTGAGACATGTCTTCGACATAAGGTCTTAAGGTGGGGGGAATGTAGTGGAGTTGTATATTTTAATTAGAGTTATCTCTCTTGGATCTTGGATGGGGTGCGCGGTTGTCATTGACAACCGGTGCTACCGTCTGGGATCCGGGCGTTTCCGTTCCGCGTCCCTCATCACTTGGTTCTTTTTAAGGTTTCGTCAAAGGTCAACATGTCTAAAAATTTATTTTTACAATTGCTCCAAAATTATGTGTGGTATGAAGTCAAAAAGTTTACATTTTGTAAATATATTACTAGTTAATACATAGAAAGTATCACATGATAACAACTATTTTTATAAAGATATTTTTTTGAGAAAAATTGTATCAGAAAATGTGCATATTTTAAAAAAATGCACCTGCTTTATTCTGTCCTTTTTGTGAAAACCATCATTGTAGATATAATTTATGTTTATCATTGAAGGGCAAGTTGGACATGAATGGTCTCTGAAAGCCTGTTATTGAAAGCATGACATGTATAAAGACAAGACCCCTATAGAATCCGCCATTTGCAGTGTACTTTCACTTTCAGGTCTTAACATTTGGACAAAATAAACATGGAAAACAACTTTCCAGAGGCTATCCAAGTCCAACTTGCCCTTCATTGATAAACATATTTTGTTTCTGCAATGATGGTTTTCACTAAAAGCATAGAATTAATTAGGTGTATTTTTTTGAAATTATATGCATTTTTAAGAAGAATTTTTCTCAATTAATATTATTCCAAGTATTATTTTTATCAACTGATACTTTCTATCTGTTAACCAATAAATAATTTATAAACTGTTAAAGTTTTAACTTTATACCTTACATACTTTTGAGGCTATTGTAAAAATAAAATTTTGGACATGATGGCCTTTGACGAAACCTTAATTATCAGATCTAGACGTTTTTAGGAGTTTGTCTCCAATTTATTTATTTACCGGCATATTTATAGTATTACCGTAATATTCCCATTGCTGATTAGCTGAATCTATCTTATAGGTAAATATCTTCACTACATTTCCCTTACGTTTCATTGTTGACTTGAATTATTTTGTTATTTGTTGATTAATCAAATATCACCTATTAAATAAATCAAAGTCATTTATCATATCTGAATAATTGTTTTAGTTCTTTATTAGTTATGATCTAGTATCTCGTGATAATCCGGGATAATTTTAAGTGGACTATACAGACCACTGTTACAATATGTTGGTTGGTGATGTTTTTATATTTGGTGACTTTAACAGTAGAACAAAATCTTTGCCTGATTTTATCTTGAATGATGAGTTACATGCATCGGTGAACAACACATTACAATAAAGAACTGACGATCAGCTGACTGCGAGGGTCAACCCAGATCTAGGTCACAATGAATACGGAAACCGGTTACTGTCATTGTGTAAAGCCACAGGTGTGCGTATTGTGAACGGTCGGCATAGTGGTGGACATTCCAACGACTTTACTTTTAATGGTGCTCATGGTCTTAGTACAATTAATTATTTATTGACCAGAACTGACATGTTTGATTCTATTAGTAAATTTATTGTCTGTAACTACTAATTTTTCAGACCATGCACCTTTACATATCGAATTGAGATGCTCTTTGTCTATGGAATCTTCTGAAAACACTAATTCGCATGTTTATAAAACCCGTAGTATTTACAAATGGGATCCAACAAATAGTGACGCATGCAAAGACTTTTTCAATTCATTAGACAACATGTATAGTCATGTGGAATTTAATGGGATTTCTACACAAAATGATCTAGACAATTGTATTGCAAAAATTACTGATATGTTGAATGCTGATGTAGGTAGTTTTTTTTTCGTGTAAATACTGATCATTACCATAGAACTTCTGGCAAAAGATTAAAACACTCCACTTTCTTAAGTTCAGATGATAAGCCCTGGTTTGATAAAAACTTAAAAGATCTTTATAGAGATTATATTGTAGCTTTACGTACATTCAATAACTGTAAAAATATACAAAATCACTCGGATTTGATTAATAAAAAACGCATTTACAAGAAAGAAGAAACAAAGCTTAAAGATTGTACAAACAAGCAGAAGGAAATAGGTTAAACATATTGAAGAAAAATAATCCCAAACAATTTTTTGCCAAATTTAATAGAAGAACAAAATCAACTCCAAAAGTATCAATAGAAACTTTTTATGAGCACTTCAAAGATATTTATCCTATTTATCCTTGTCTTTCACTTGTGCCAGTCCAATATATGATACGATATACAATACAATATACGTCACCATTGCCGGTGAAGGGCTGCAAATGTAGGCCTATGCTCGGCACTAAGGGCCTTTGAGCAAGGAGGGATCTTTATCGTTCCACACCTGCTGTGACACGGGGCCTCGGTTTATACGGTCTCATCCGAAGGACCGCCCCATTTAGTCACCTTTTACGACAAGTAAGGGGGTACTGAGGACCTATTCTAACCCGGATCCCCACGGGGTCCAGTCCAATATAAACACGATCCCTAAATTTTAACTCTGTCTACGGACGTGTAAAGTTTTCCTCTATTGTTTAATTTTGTGCATATTAGACAAACAAAAGAAATAAAAATACTTAAATTTCAAATGTTCAACTTCATAATAACACATCGGAGCTTAAAAACAATTCTAACACTTGAATTAAACAAGAAGGTTCCAAATAAAAATTAAATGCCATGTAAAAATTATGACACTTTCCCCATCATTTCAGCTCAAGTATGCAGTAACTTGAGGTAATATTATATTATGACGTCACATCTAGGTAGTTCAGAGAAGTTACTGCAGTCTGAACAATTTGATATTTAACGGACAGTCTTATCCTAGCTGGGTCCCTTTCCAAGACCTAATATACCACGTACATTTGTCTAAATTACTAGTATTAATTCAACTGTTCAATGGGTCGCCCACGTGGCGCAGTGGTTAGAGCGTCTGCTCTAGAGTCGCGAAGTAAGGAGTCAATCCTTACGTCGCGGGTTCGAATCCCACTGCGGGACGTGGAGACCGGTCCTTCGGATGAGACCGTATAAACCGAGGCCCCGTGTCGCAGTAGGTGCTGGCACGAAAAAGATCCCTCACTGCTCAAAGGCCCTGAGTGCCGAGCATAGGACAGAATTTGTAGCCCTCCACCGGCAAGTGGTGGCGTCTCCATATCAGTGAAAAATTCTCGAGAGGGACGTTAAACAATATACAATCAATCAATCAACTGTTCAATGGACGTTCAGTGAAAATCTGGACAAGTATTAATGCTACATATAAAAGCATAATTAATGATACTGACATGTCACAATAAGCAATAAGACATATACATATCTCATATAAAATAAATGCTAGTAGTTAAGATATAAAAATTTCAAAGCAAACAGTAACAATTTAAAATTAATTAAAGTTCACAGATTAAAGTTAATAAAAATGAATTACACTTAAAGAACCAGTGTCTCACTGTCCTGGAATAAGGTCCTCGCGCTCCAGGAGTTCCGATATATTTTTCTTCAACGCGCGGTTCTCGCTTTCCAATTCGCGGAGGGACGATCCTGGTTTTTGAAGTTTCTCTAAGCGCTCCTTGTCCACCAAACGCACACGGGCGATTCTATCAATCTGGCTACCAAGGTTAACGATATACATTTGAAGTGAGTCCTCAGTGGAAGGTATGGGAGGGGTATAAAAATCATCATCACAACATGAAGAGTCTGGTAGATCTGGACTGAGGTTTCTATAAATAATCGGCAACGGATATTCTCTTGAAGTCAAGAACTAAGAAGTGCCACTATGTTGCAGGTTGCATCGAAGAAAGAAGGGATTCCACCAATCGAGCAAGAAGACGGATCCATCAAAGAACAAGACAGCAGTGCCAACGACGAAGACGAATGTGCAAACGAAGAAGATGGTTCCAACGACGAAGAGGACGGTCCACGACGAAGACGACTGTGCATACGAAGAAGATGGTTCAGTAACCGGAGGAGGAATCACCACAGTCCCGGGAGCAACACTCGCCATCGAGGGGAATCCAAGTTCTGCGGTGGAGGAAGAAACGCCGGCTGTCTGGGAAGTCTGGGCACGTCGGAAGGTAGGTAAATTTCAACAGCCAAGGGTCGATATAATTCAGTCTAAATCCAGTCCAAGGAAAAAAAGACAGCAATAACTCCTCAACAGGTGATGGTGCCTCACGTGAATCTCTGGAGACCAGTACTGAGACCACAACCTGAGAACTAGAGCAGACAACTTTAAACACTTCCTCACTTGTTTCCTCAAGCTTAAATGTACTGAATGCTGTTGATCTGGATCCTATTGATGTAGATTATAATCATACTAAAGAGGTATATATACATGCTTTAGCACTGTTGATATGTACATGTAATATACAGCCTACTCCGGATATATTGAAATTCAAGGGACCATGCAAATTATTACCGTCTTCCTTGGAAGACGGTATTGTATAGTTGAAGTTTTTTACAGTCTTCGGACTATGCACTTCCTCTCTTTTGTGATTGGTAGAAAATGCATGATGAGAAAATTTTCAATTATTTCATTGGTTGAAATGCTGTTCAAGGCAAGGGAGATAACTTTTTGATGATCTAATTTTCGTACGACTTAACAATTTTGCAAGATTTTCAATCTTAAAAAAAAATGACAAAACGAACAACAAAATCAGCAGTAATTAATTCCTAATAACATGATTTTTTGTATAGCAAAAAATAAAAAGATCTCTTTAACTTCATTATAAATAAAATTTGATTTTTATTGCTTACAGGCTTTACAATTTGTTATTATTCTTTTCCCCTTTCTTGTTTAAAGAAGGAAATGGAATCAGCCGAGGTTTGCCGAAAGCTCTCGGCGAGTCAAAGTTTACGGAGATGACCGAGCGACAACCGTGGTAGGGCTAATGCCAGTAAAAAGCTAATGTAGAAATACAAAATCAAGAAATTCAAAAGAATTATACGGCCTGATAGGTGTAGATCAGTTTACAGTTTAAGATTGTTGCTAAAGACGGGAAGCTTTTTAAAAAAGCTCTACTTGTTTCAATATATCCGTAATTCAATATAAGCGAAATCCTGAAGCCGCCATTTTTACAAGTTCAATCCCGATCTAAAATAAAGAAGAACAAACCCGAACAAATTAACTTTGTTAACTTTGTTCTCGTTTATCTATAACAGTGAACATATAAGATAGAATATTAGTCCTTGAGAGTTTAAATATTTTTTTTTATTTCTGATACATTGAAAAGACAATCTTCGACCTCATTATTATTTAAATGCGTCTTGGAGAAAATTCACTGGAAAAAAAAACGGTTGAGTACTGCTGTACGCTGCTTGTATTTCATTGCAAGTGTACTCGGGTTAATCCCTTAGTTATTTCGAATTTTAAGGCATATCAATAGCCATTAACAGCACGCATTTAATTTCAAAGTTTATATGTTTTTTTTTCTAGATCTGTGGGGGTTACTAAATAATATAATATTACGTTAAACTGTTTAGTCTCGATATGTCCGTATTATATACATGGACGCAAAGAATTTAACAGTGAAGAATTTTATTTCGTAAGAACATGCACTAAAAACACACAAGGTGAAAACTTAATTATTTACACCTTTGTATATCACCTGGTCAATCAGGCATAATTACTGCCACCAACCGTAATGACAGCCGCCAGGGAGTACTTCAATATAACCGTTTTGTAAACAACTCATTATCACTTGTGGGGACCGATCAGTGACTTCAATATAAGCGAAATTTCAATATATCCGATTTCAATATAACCGTTATTTTAATGCAAAGAATATGAGAGACAAAAACTGGGGATTTATTTCTATTTCAAAATAAACGGAATTTCAAAATAAGCGAGTTCAATATAAGTGGAGTAAGCTGTAGTATTATGATATAACTGGTGCAGTTTGGAATTTTTAAAATGATATAGAATAGCTTTTATTTTTAGATTGCAGATTTCTCTCATGCCTATTATGTGCCTGAGTATGGTTATAATTCAGACTTGGTTCAACCTGAGACTTGCACACACACCCCGCCCCATTCAGAATGTTATAGGTAAGATTAAAAGAGTGAAATAATGTGCTGCGATAAATATTTAATTGAAGATTTCAAACAACTTTTTTAATTCGAATAGAATGTTCCATTCCACTTGAAGATAATTTTCTATTTTTATACGAATATTATTTGCTTTACTTATTTTTCTTCGCATTTATTAGTTACTATCAGACACTGGACCATTCACAACAGGGAACAATTCTTGGATTTCTGAATATGCTTTCTTCTGAGCTGCATAGAATTACATATGGGCAGCCATCAAGCAGTTCAGCCAACCCATCCAGCAGTATAAACTTAAATGGAAAGGATTTTTCAGTAGAACAACATGGAATCAATCAGACAATCCACAATCAACAGAAGAAAATGAGGTATGCATGATTAGATGTTTTTTTTTTAATACTGTGGAAACATTACTGTTCATGGGTGATTAATGTTTGAGGATTTTGTGGATCACCCTTGCTGAAAAATGTACTATCCCACGCACATAAAGAAATAAGTTGTGATACTTTGCTTTTCTAAGAACACTGACCACCCACAAATTAAAATGATTCCATATTTAAAGGTTAAATCTAAGTATTATCTGATAACAAGTATCAATAAATGTTTTTAAAGCCAGTGAAAGCTCAAACAAGATGTTTTTTTTGAAACACTGATGCCCCCATATTGCAGCTTTAGATATGATGAAGGTTGAAGTTTCTCAAATGTGAATCAGACTCTAAATATAAAGATAAAAAATATTGGTATCAAAAAGTGGAAGGGCTTTTCACAAGGAATACACGTGTGAAATTTGATGGCTCTGACTCATACTAACTGTTCAAATGTTATTGACAAGGTTATTGACAAGGTTAGTTTCTTTTACAAAGTGTGTCAGACTCTAGGATCAAGGTAAACATTTGTGCCAATAGAAAGGTCTTGTCACAATGAATACACATGTGAAGTATGAAAGCTGTAGCACAAACTGTCCAAAAGTTAAAGCCAAGTTTAAAAGTATTGTATTTTTTGTTATAGTAGGTCAAACTCCAAGGACATACATATTTCATTATGATAAATAAAGTAAAGAAAATCAATCAACAATCATTTTTAAAAAAGGAACGCTGAAAATACATTATAATAAGGCCGGAATTTAAAATATCTTTGTTTCCCCTAACCCGACCTTAAATTCTCAAGTTGGGTTTTATTTTATTTTATTTTTCTGACAGAAGCTTTGAAAAGCATAAATTCTAAATTTTAATGGAACACACACACATCCCACCATATCGAACATTTATTGTTTTGGTGCTGTCGCCATTCATGGTGATCAGGAGGTCGTGAGTTCGTACCTCGGCCGCGACTGACCTAGTCGTTAAAATTGGTAGCAACTGTTCTTTCGCCATGCGCTCGGCACTTTGAAGTGAAAGTTGCGGGTCCTTCGGATGAGACCTTCAAAACCGAGGCCCTGTGTCAGCGGCCGGCGTTGGCCTGATAAAGTTCCCTCACTGCTCAATGGCCCTGAGTGCCGAGTAAAGGTCATTTTAAGCCCTTCACCGATATACGGTGACGTCTCCATATGAGTGAAAAATTCTCGAGAGGGACGTCAAACAACATACAAGCAATCAATCAATCTTCCAGAACTGTGAATTTCAAGGCCCCTGGGTCTGGGATGCCAAAATGGGGGGGGGGGGGCTCTACTTATATACTGAAAATGAATTGTTTGAAATATGCTCCTTGGAAGTATTAAAACATTTTTTACAAGCGAGTGTGCCTTTTCAAAAATTGTGCAATTTGTAGACCTAGGGTCAGGGGTTCATGTGTGGTAGGAGCACTCCTCATTATCGTTGAATATTACTGATTAGATGACATACATTTTTGTCTTTACCCTGCTTATGGGTATTAAGTAAACAAACCAAAAATTGCTACGTGTATAGTTATGGTAAGCATTGGTGCCTCTTTCAAAATCGTGGGGGATCCGGGCTAGAATAGGTCCTCAGTACCCCTTGCTTGTCGTAAAAGGCGACTAAATTGGGCGATCGTCCGGATGAGACCGTATAAACCGAGGCCCCGTGTCACAGCAGGTGTGGCACGATAAAGATCCCTCCATGCTCGAGGCCCTGAGTACCGAGCATAGGCTTAAATTTGCAGCCCTTCACCGGCAATGGTGACGTCTCCATATCAGTGAAATATTCTGGAGAGGGACGTTAAACAGTATATAATCAATCAAAATCATGAATGCAATTGGATCTAGCTTAAAGCAATATGAGCTGCATGTTTGACATCGGAAAAAAATATTGCAAATTTGTAGTTAGCTATTTCAACGACAGGAAAATAGAACATTTATAAACTTCTGTTGTTCATATGTGCTAAGAAAGAACTTATAACACTTTGATTGAAGCAAAATTGAATTATTGTCGTCCTGTACAATAATGATTTCTTATATAATACTGCATATTAGGTTGAACAGAAATATTTCTTCTGAAACATTTTAAAACTTTATTTTGGTTTTATTGATCATAAGGGTTTAGATTACATACAGATTTATAATAATAACACATTTTAATAGCAAAATAAAATTCTCAAAAATGCAGCTCATATTGCTTTAGAACATGAACCAAAATCTATCATTTGAAAGTTGTTGCATAATGCTCATGTGACCTATAGGGCTCATGGGCTTCTTGTTTTTTAAATCTGAGTGAATCTTCCTCTTGGTTTTTGTTAGACAGGTCATTACATCCAATTCCTTCGACTTGTGTTTTGGAGATGTTATATTCTGAATATTTTCCATTGCCCCCGTAATGTTCCTTTTCCCTACACCTTGTACTTTTATCCTCATCTTGTACATTTCAGAACAAAGCTTATAGGATAACAGGACTAGGTGCAAAAGAGCCACGCCCTAACACCAAAATCCTAGCTGATCCTCGGGTCATAAGTTCATAATTTTGGAAGAGGCAATCTTATTCAACATTACTATGTTTTTGGTTAGCTTATTTAATGCCCACAAGCAGAGAAGATTTCAAAGAAGGATATAGAAATAACGAACAGTATTCAATCTCAACGTCCATTAAACAAATATACAAAATAAGAGCAGAGCAAACACGGACCTCCGAAACATCAGAGGTGGGATCAGGTGCCATGGAGGAGTGAGCATCCCCTGCAGACCGGTCACACCCGCCGTGTGCTCGTTGTCATAATCAGGAAATAACGGAAAAAAATCCGTGGTCAATTAAGTGTATAAATGATGGACTAACAATAATGTTAGCCTGTTTAAATTCCCGCGCGTAGGTGGCACTCGTGTACTATCAGTTATACATTCGGAACTCTTCGTAATATTGTCTAACTGTAAACTTGCCGCAGTATTGTTGCGTCCCTCTGTGCACAAACTTTGGGGGGCATAGGTTTCCCACGGAATCTACTCTTCGGGAAAAGTGGAGGGTAGCTATAAAAAGGGTTTATCAAAGGACGAAGCGGCTTTGGGAGCCGGGGAAATATGATGTTGTGTGTTCGTCTCACTTCCGAGACGAAGACTTCACATCCACGTTATTAGGTAAGCACCAATGGCAATACATCGCTGATTTATGTTGTTTTCTTGTTGATTTTATGTTGTTTTTTTTGGTTGACTTTGCCCCTGATCTGTATTTGTTAAATAAATAATTTAATGGGTTAGAATTACAGGCATTATAAATGTTAAATGTCAGAAGTAAAGCGGTTATATTCTCATTGATTGACAGAGGGTTACTTTTTGTTTACAAAAACGTATTACTCTACTAGTCTAAGGATATTTTTATATAGTTCCCTGTTTATTTCTGTCAGCAGTATGTCTGTTTTAATGATCAAAATATTAATATAAACTGTAATGGCTCCATTTCCTGGTTTATTTATTTAAAAAAAATAATTTTCTTTTTGTACTTTATTTGTTTTTTTATTTTTGCATTGCATTTTATGTTTCTAGTTATTTGCTGTTTTTAAACCATTCAACTCAAGACATCTTCATCTTCCCGAGTTTTGTGGTGGTACAATGCAGGTGAAAAGCAGTATTTGTTTACGTTCAGTGTTCTCGCAACTTATGGCTTTAATGTGATTTGAAACTTTAAAAAAAATTAAAAATTAGCCACAAATGTTCATTAAATTTTTTTATTTGATAGGAGCAAGGCGTGTGCTGCATAAAGGAGCCATACCAAGTATTTTCCCATTTAGGCCGAAAGAACAGGCGAGAAGAACAAAGATATGCAGGGAGCGTGACAGATCAGTAGTTGATATAAACAATGTTAATGTTGTGTCATGTGAAATGAAACTGGAGGAAGATGTTGTAAAGTCAGATGAAAATAATCAACCAGATGAATTAATTTGTCCAGTACTGGGAAAATTTTCAATTGAGCAATTAAAACAAGAACCAAAGAAAGTGAAATATTACACATCATTTAATGACTATGAACACTTTATGTTTTTCTATTACTCCTTGGGACCAGCTGTTGATCACTTAAGCTACAAGAGTAGCTTATTATCATCAAAGGATGAACTTTTTCTTACATTAATAAAATTACGCCAAGGCAAAGAGGATAGGGAACTCAGCTTTTATTTCAGTGTTTCAGAGACAACCGTTTCTAAAATTATTGTGACTTGGATTACCTTTCTGTATTTTCAGTTGAGAGAAATTAACATTTGGCCATCTCGTGAAATTGTTAGTGAACATATGCCTTTAGATTTCAGAAGGAAATTTCCTCTGACAAGAGTAATTTTGGACGCTACGGAGATTCCCATTCAGAAACCATCACATGTGGACAGTCAATGCGCAACATGGTCTTCGTATAAACACAGAAATACTCTAAAAACAATGGTGGGGTGCACACCAAGAGGAACTGTGTCATTTATCAGCGATTCCTATGGTGGGTCTGTGAGTGACAGGCAGATCATCGAGAGATCAGATTTGATCAAACCTGAGCTCAGGCATTTCAAAAAGAAAGACAGTATCATGGCGGACCGTGGTATCATGATTCAAGACCTATTTGCAACACGGGATGTTTTTGTCAATATCCCAACTATGTTAAAGGGAAAGAGTCAACTGGAACCAGAAGAAGTGGTACATGACCGTCGTGTAGCATCCAAAAGAATCCATATAGAGCGTGTTATTGGACTTGCCAAGACATTCAAAATATTGCGCAATTCATTACCTTCAAGCAAAGTTATCCTTGGGTCTAGAATCAATTACGTTTGTTTTTCTATAGTTAATTTCCGTCCTTGTATTGTAAATCAAAATTCTTAAGATTCAGAATGTAGGAATTATGGTAATATTTATTGACATTATAGCTATGTCTGATTTACTGTCATTGGAATACACAACTGACAATGTAGAATGTGAAGTGTATGCGAGTGTTAATTGTATAATTAAATTCTATCTTGAAGATGAGCTGTAAAATTCTGATTATTAAAGCTATAAATTAATCAGTTTATATGCAATAAATTTGATCAATATTTTCATATACATGTATTTACATTCGCTGTGTTTTTTCTACTAAGCCAACTGTGTAATTGATTTGAAAACTTTTCGTGTATACTCACCGGTAGAAATATAAACGGAGAAATGTGCGTTAACGTGACGTCACAATGAGGCTCCGGCGACGTTAGTTAAAGTGCAAGGATATAGGACAGCGAGAAATTCAAATATTTAGCATATTTTAGTTGCTTCCAAACATGTAAAATGTAAATATAAGGAATGTTTTTCAGTTTAGTGTGAATTATTGGTGTGTGAATCACACAGAATTGTCACGTAGGCATATTTCATGAAGCGCTAGTGCGCTTCATGAAACCTATATGCCTACGAGACAAGTCTGTGTGACCACACACCAATAACTCACACAAAACTGAAAAACATTCCTTAATTGAAAATTCATTGAATCCAATGTCAGCCATCATTAAAAAAATTTTTGTTTGATGCACTCTGACCCTCAGTTTTTGAGGTGTTAATTTTTTTTTTTAAAAAGATTTTGGCTTAATTTTTTTTTAAATTGTAAATTTTTATTTAATTCTGAATAAATTATTGAGTTAGTAAAATTATTTGACTGGTTGGTTGAAGTACATCAAACAAATAATTTTTTAATTGTGATACATATACATGTACCAGTATTTTAAAACAAAGTTACTCATGAATTTCAGTTAAAAGAAGTTGTGTACATAGAAAATAAAGATCTACATTTGCAACACTGGTAGAAAATAAAACATAAGGATGTTTGATTGTTTCATATACATCTTTAATTGCTCATAATCGCTACAATTTAGTTGCCAAGAATGGTCGATAGTATTTTTCATAGAAAAGGGAGAGTTTAGGGACTAGTGAATATTTGCAGTATTCTTCATCAAGATGAATAGTTTGTACAAATAAGTCTTTGAAAGTATAAACAACAAAATAACATTTTGTTCTGTTTGAAAGGTACATTTGTCCTTGGATTTGGTTGTAATAATGACTGCTTTCCGTTAACACAATATTCCTGTCTCTATCATAACGCAGAAAAGGAAATAATTTCCCTGGAGAAATAAGTGCTTCTCTACCTGCATAAGGACATTTAATCTCTATTAAAGTTTCCTTATCAACTACACCATCTGGAGATGCACCCAGAAATGGCAAATCAGTACGAATGAATAGGCCACAACTTTTACACTTCAAATCAAATTTCTTTTCAAACACTTTCAAAGCTTTCGATTCATACTGCTTTCCATGAAGCATTGCTTTTGTACTAAATGTAGAGTTAAATAATGATGAGCACAGTCAGTAGATATTTCCGTTCCTTAAACCATTCTGAACTCTGACTCTGCTGCCTTGTTGATGACTCTATTTTCTTGGCTTTTTCATCTGTAATCTGAAAAAGCAATTATTTTAGTTATTAAAACCTTTAATAAAAAGAATATTCCTCAAGAATTGTAAAGTAATTGTATTTTTATGCAACCTATAGTTAATTATCTATCTGATTTTAAGTTATTAATTGTATATACATGTATCAAGAACATGTATTATCCTATTTTTTTTACAATTTCATTTATTCCCTTAACCATCAGTGACATTGCAGATAACCATGAATTGTTACAGTTATGCACTACAGAATAACATTGTTTTATACACAATGCATTTAAAAATGTTAGTAATGAAGATGATAAGCACTAGTACTTAGCACTTACAGTCACAGAATTGTCAATCCAGTGTTCCAAGAGAGGATTCTGTAAGTAATCATGATCCTTTGATGCAGCCTGCATATAAGCCTTGGAATAGTTGTAACGTAAAGCTATATCCATTGAGGACGACGAGCAGTAGTTTATCATGACACTTCTAACATAGTCGTTGTAGGAGGCCATGTTTCTATACTTTGCAGGTCTTGGGTCCTCCAACATACTTTCTGTAAACTTTCGCTTAGAGGGTAAGGACTCGGCTTTCATTGGAGATCCTTGCAAAATGAAATATTACAATTCATTTATTGTAAGCACTATTAGTAAATACAACAGGCTACCTATATATAAATCTTAGATGCCTCCTTTTAGAAATCAAATATACCGAATTGATTTTAACCAAATTGAGTCTTATATTTACACCTTAAAAATCATGGATAATGCCATTAATAATAATAACACCTATATTTGAAAAATGCATTAAAATCAAAATAAAGTGATGCCTGGTCACATGTAGCTAATCTGCTTTGAATAAATGAATGATAAAGTATATGTATGTATTCAAGTTTCTATGAAATGGCCCACAATATCCAATATTTCAAATGATATTTATAAGAAGAAGGTACAGTTTCAATACAAATTAAGCCCTAAATTTTTCTAAAATATGAAAGTGATATAAAAAATAAAAATTCATTCTTTCCGAATCATAGGAATTCTCTGCAGTAAGAATACACAAATCGTTTTTCTCATATGACCTCCTAAATGCTAATTGTGACGTCATTAACTTGTGCATTTTCCTGTATTTTCTTAAAAAGTTGCAGAAGACATCAATTTTCAGTGGATTTTCTTTCAGAAAACATACTCTGCCACCGTCGCCCGGAAAGATTTTTAGATATGTGATTTTTCAAAGCAGTTTACATAATATATCCAAAAATTGAAGCGGGCGACGGTGGCAGACACTATTTTCTAGAGGAAAATAAGCACAGAAATGAGTCATTCTGAGGCTTTTCTGCATTAAACTTAGAAATGTACCAAATTAATGACGTCATATTTCCAGAAAGGCCCTCCTTTATGCCATATTCTTTAATGATTTATCATATTCATCTTCTCAACTATTGTTAAAGCCAATTTCATAACTTTTTAAGAACATTAAATTTTTAGGGCACAATAAAGCTCAAACTGTACCCCCTTCTTTACCACTATAATAGTTCTTGGGTTTGTGAAATGTCTGCAAGTTGTCAGTGCAACTCTTTTCCACCTCTATCTCCCCCGTGTTCACAAAATCTACCAGCATAAGCAGTACGGCTGCAATGTGTTTACATGTTCCATGTGGTCCTTTGCCGGCTGGGCATTCACAATGCGAATTGACCGGCTCTCCAGTTGATCTGGTTAACTTTATCTTGTAGTTGTAAGTTACCTAGTAAATTCAGAAATAAAAGAGTTAATTTTTTAAATATGATATCTATATATGCCTTGACCTTTCTTAATCTTTATAAATATTCTTCATCAAATAGAAATTGTCTGTCTTACAGTTTATTTAAGAAAAAGCTCTGAATTTAAGGGCGGGCAGACATATGGGGAAGAAAAAGCCACAGACACAAACAATATATCCCATGATCTATGACTTTGGTGACATACAGATCCTACTAATATAATTTGGTTAAAAAAAATCTGAAAAAAACATATTTATAAACACAAAATATTACAAAATACAACTTTTAATACCTTGTTTTTCATTGCAGCCCCAACAATTCCACTGAAAAATATGTGATCTCTAATCTGAAGAGAACTGCAAGCAAATATTCTCGTTTCCATCATTTTCTCTCCTTTAGTGAGAGCCTTAATGTCATTGGATATAGCTTGGTCTCCAGCAAGTCTGTATATAAAATAGCCTGTCACTTGCTCTCTAGGAATGAAAAAAAATATTAAGTAAAAATCACACATATTACTTCATAATAAAATTTTACTTGGGGGGAATAAACATCATACGATAAGCTAGACAGAGTATTTACACATATACCATTGAACACAGCTAGAATTAAAGAAAAAGTTGTCCCCGGTACACACACAAAAATTTTATTTTATATGTTATTTAATGTGTCTGGTTGACAGTGGTTGTTGAATTACCTTGTAATTTTGGGAAAATGTCATCTGTGCATTTTGCGCTTAACTGCTGGAATCCTTGGGAAGGCCAGTTGGGTTGTAGAGGGTCAGGCATAATGATGGGCTCATTCTCAAAGTTTCTATTTCTGTCATAAGCCTTGAGTCTGAAAATAATATTTTCTTTTTTTTAATTATTTAAAAATAAGGAAACAAAGTTTTATCATCCATTAATAATGTAATTTACTGTGCAAAATTGCTTATATTATCGATCTATCTGATTGCCACAATCGGGACTAAAGACGTGCCTGATGAGCTGATCGAGTTTTGAACTTTTATACATTTAACAGTTATAAAACTGTTGATCTGTGTTCATATTTCTCATTACACGTGCCTATTATCATTTAAACAATGTGGTATACCTGTATTCAATTCTATGCAATGCAATATGAAAACGTATTTCATTCCAGGTCAGAGACAATGGCGATCACCGATCATACAACATAACATAGCAGCCGCGCTCGTCGGTGAGCGTCAACTCATTTGTTTACTTATTTTTTTTAGGTCATCTATGTTTATTGAGACAATTTGTTGTATTAGTGAAGCTTTATAATAACTTACCTTTCAACTAAGTCGGTCTGTCTTCTTTTAGTTGACGCAGCGCGTTTAACCAATTCTGTTTTTAATTTCTGCACAGTCCACACCTCGTATTTGTCCGCCATGTTTACTTTGTGTATACCCGATAAAACCGCAGCGCCACCTATGTACGGCGCATACTATTGGTATGAAAAACGTCAGTCAGCATTTCATTCAATGATAAATTGTATTTGCTGACAAGGTCATTGTATCGACCATAGAATTTACGGAATGATGACTTTAAACGAGAATGTTGGTATTCTTGTTTCATCAACTTGCTTGTCAATAATATACCTCGTTTAAGAAATTGTTCATACGTAGAGCATGCTCTTGCGTATCGAATCAACTGAGATATAAATACTCCGTATGCAGGTGATGAAGGTATATTGCTGCATAAGTAAGGGAAGTTGACGATAGAAAAGTTAAAGTCATCACGTTTATCATATAGCTTGAGGCGTCTCCATATGAGTGAAAAATTCTCGAGAGGGACGTTAAACAGCATACAATCAATCAATCAATCATATAGCTTGGTTGTTAGATTACCATTAGTGTCTTTTTCAAGTAAAATATCAAAGTATGAAGCAGAAGTGTCGGACTCTGTGGTATCTTTTATCTCAAGCTCACCAGGATATATCGTGTCGACGTAGGAATGGAAATTATCATTATTAATTGACAATACGTCGTCGATATACTTAAATGTGGAGTTGAAGTAGTAATCATGCATTTTCACTATACTGTATATTTAGCCCAACCGTAGCACTAGAACCCCTGACCCCGGGGTCATGAATTTATAATTTTGGTAGAGGACTTAATGCTGATATAAAGCAAGTTTGACTGGATCAGCTCCCCCTGTAGTAAAGATTGAATACACTTCACCAGCTCGTTTAATTCACCAACCTCGTCATATGATAAAAATGAACTTTGTGAAAGGATCGAAGTAAAAATTAAACATCAGATTAGTTAAAAGGGTTGTTCACAGTAGCATTACACTAAAGTGCTATGTAACAATGTCCCATTTTAATAATCAATTATGTAATCAATATGCATGTTCTAAATCAAATCAATATGCAAAATATATTAACATGAGCTCAGGAATTTTTCTACAGGATTACTTTGCACATTGACAAGACTTCAGGCATACATTAAAGCATGTGCATTTCAAACAAGAGCAAGGTTCTGTACAGGTTTCATGCGAGTCACTGGTTCAGTGGTTGATGGTTCTGTTCTTTCAATACCGTAATTCCTTTGAATTTAAAAGTCTTTAAAACAATTTATTAAATATATTTAGATCATTTTAATTTTAACAGTTTACATTATTATAACAGTTGCCAATTTTTTTTTAATTTTCAGTCTGTCGGATGGGACAGTTAATGATGCCCAGTCAAGGATAACAACCCCCTTGGCACAGAAAAGACCGTTTATCTGGAGTTCGAAAACGAGTGGGCTCATTTGGGGCCACCAGAGAAACCAAACACTTTCAGAAAACCGGTCAATAAACAAACTTGTCCGTCGAAATATGGCTGAAATATTTCCGACTCGGCGTTCAACAATGTAAAATAAATCAATCTAATGCAATGGGTGGGGCTTCTTTTTCCAGTATTGACTTAAATTCCTCATAATTACATTTGTGATGCTCCTTTTGTATACATAGCACACAGCATAACGACCATCACTAACACAGCAGCCAATCTCCTTCCAACAAGAGGCCCACGGGCCTTATAGGTCACCTGAGCATTATGCAACAACTTTCCAGTTACAGTGTATTGAATTTGATTCAATAACATGTTTTAAGCCAGATGCTATATGGCATTCACAATTTTGAAAGAGCACCATTGATCATCATAACAATAAACTTAGCAGTCGCTTAGCTTGGTTACTGAATACCCATATGCAGGGTAGGGGAACAAAAATGCACTCCAACTAATCAGTAATATTCATCAATAATCAGTAATGCCCCTAACACTTTGACATAAACCCCTGACCCTAAGTTGCACAATTTTTTTAAAAGGCACCCTTAAAATTGCCTATCAAAAAGTAAATAAATGTTTTATAAATACAAAGGACCAGATTTCAAATAATTAATTCATTTCCTGTATATAAGTAGAGCCCCCCCCCCCCCCACTCCTGACCCTGGGGCCTTAATATTCACAATTCTGCAAGATTAGGGCCCTTGCTCATCATAACTATATAGGTAGTTCATCTGCTTCATACCCAGAGACAGAGAAGAACATTTTCAAAGATTTTATGTACTTTCACTATATAATCAATAGAGCCATAAAATTCACAATTTCTGTAGAGGCACTCTTGCTCATCATAACTATGCACTTAGGCAGTTTATATAATACCTAGCAGCAGAGAAGAAGATTTTCAAGGAATTCACATATTTTCACTATATAATCAATAGAGACCCCCCCCCCACACCAGAACCCTTGACCCTGGGGCCATAAAATTCAAAATTTTGGTAGAGGCACTCTTGCTCATCATAACTATGCACTTAGTTAGTTTATTTAATACCCAGGAGCAGAGAAAAAGATTTTCAAAGAATTCATGTAATTTCACTATATAATCAATAGGGCCCCGCCCTAACACCAGAACCCATGACCATGGGGCAATAACATTCACAATTTTGGTAGAGGCACTCTCGCTCATCATAACTATGCACTTAGTTTATTTAAAACCTAGGAGCAGAGAAGAAGATTTTCAAAGAATTCATGTAATTCAATGAGCCCCCCCAACACCAGAACCCTTGACCCTGGGGCCATAATATTCACAATTTTGGTAGAGGCACTCTTGCTCATCATAACTATGCACTTAGTTAGTTTATTTAATACCCAGGGGCAGAGAAAAAGATTTTCAAAGAAATCATGTATTTTTACTATATAATCAATAGAGCCCCACTCTTACACCAGAACCCCTGACCCTGGGGCCATAAAATTCACAATTTTGGTAGAGGCACTCCTACTCATCATAACCATGCACTTAGTTAGTTTATTTAATACCCAGGGGCAGAGAAGAAGATTTTCAAAGAAATAATGCATTTTCACTATATACTTATTTAGCCCCGCCCTAGCACTAGGACCCCTAACCCCAGGGCCATGAATTTCACAATTTTGGTAGAGGACTCAATGCTGATTACAACCATGCAAACAGTTTGACTGCTTGATGTCCAGGAGTAAAGAAGAAGATTTTTAAAGATTGCATTTATTTTAGTGGTTTTGGCCCCACCCCTCAGGCCCCATGGGGGCAGGGATCATGAAATTCACAATTTTTGTTCCCCTTCACCCATAGATGCTTTGTACCAAATTTGGTTGAAATTGGTTCAGTGGTTGCAGAGAAGAAGCTGAAAATGTTCAAATGTTAACGCACGACGAACGACGACGGACGAAAACAGATAGCAATAGGTCACCTGAGTTTACTCAGGTGACCTAATGAAAGAGCGATGATGGTGGGATCCCCCCCCCCCAGTGCAGGACTTACTCAACATCCTTGATGTTGATCCCCATTCCAAATGCCACAGTTGAGATGATGAGTTTTAATTTCCCATTAATGGAGATCAATCTATCCATTATTCTCTATTTGGATTCCTCTTCAACATAACTTTGTACTTGGTTACTTTATTAAATGCCCCGGAGCAGATAAGATCGGTGGCTTACCCATCGGTTTCATGCTCCATCCGTTGACAGCATCCAATTCCATTTGAATTTTTTCCTGAAGTTGGTAAAAATCCCACATTGCCACCTTCTATGGGGGTGTCAGATCCATCAAATGTATCATCACTTTTATCCCCCGACTGGAATAATAATCATCTTCTGTGCTATCGAGGTTAGTGGCAATTACTTTTAACTTTCTGTAAATTCCAGTAAGTCATTTATTGCTTCTATATAATTTTATTCAGTCTTCTGTTGATTCTCGTCTATTTGTCATCTCACGAGAGATTTCACATTAAGTGTGGACTTCCGGATGTGAAGTCCCAGTGTAAGGAATATCGGATAAACATATGAAATATCTTTTAAGGAGGAAGTTAATCATAGTTCTTTCCAAAAAATCAAAAGGATATGTAGAGGTCATTACAGATATTGATCCATCAGAGATGGAAAAAAAGCCGCGTGTAGGAAAAAGAGTAATCATTTCCCAAGCATCGAAAATAAAATGTTAAACTTGGAACAGACTTGTAAAATTTCAGTGAACAAGAGGACGAAAAAAGCTACCACTAATGGCAACTGCTATTTTCTCCCTTTCTGATTTTCAAAGCCTTATACTTACCTTCTCAATGTCTTTTCATCTAATCGCTTGCTTCGTAACATCATTGAAAATACATAAAAATAAGATTCTGGACTGATATATTTAATTCTTTTTAAGCACATGACAATTTTTTCAAATGTTACATGTACTACAATTGAGGAAATTGGCATATGCTTAAAAAGAAATATATCAGTCCAAAATCTTGTACTACGAATCAGAATTTGAGATAGAATATTCTTAATTGTTTCCTATTAATTTAATGAGTCGTTAAAAATCCTACCAGTTCACTCTCTAACCAGAAACGTGCCCATGTCCTCTACCGATCTTCCACAATAAATAAATAAATCTTTTGTTTCTCCACATTAAAAAAAAGCTATGGATTGTGTTGCAAGTGATTTGAATCATGATCACAATGAAATATATATTTATTGATTTACTCAAGTACCAGAAATTTGTGATTAACAAAAATATATTTTCTTGAACATTCTGTCCAATGGCAATATTGCACAGTGACCTACAAGGGGCCAAGATCAAGAAAAAGGATATAAAAATACAAATAAAATTGAAGCCTTTTCAACCGTCAACAGTAAAATCTTTACATATACATACTCCCGATCTAACTCTTAAAAAAGTAATCCGTCATTTTCAAATTCATACATTAAATGTACTAATTGTCATTAAGGTAAGTCTCTCCTGAAATTTGTTATATCAAGGATTTTTTGAGAAGTATATTTTGGATAAGTACTCAAAAAGTATAACCCAAAATTGCAAAGAAAATACAGGGTCAGTTTGCATCCTACTGATCTACGGTACATTTAATTTGACCTTTTAGCACTTAAATGTAATCTCTTTGATTATTCACTTTAACTCTAATTATATTTGATCAAATGTCATGGCAATAAATATATTCTTGTTTTCGTAAAATAGTTTGAATAATATTTATCATTAAACAAATCTTGCAAATCACTGCGCGTAAATTATTGTGTGACCTTTTTGCACTAAAAAATAACATTTTGGGGATATTAAAAACTTCATAGGCAATAAAAATTTTTCTTATATCAAACTTTTTACGACTTTAGTGCTGATCAGTCAAAAGTGTCGAGTAGTTTAAAATGATGAAAGAAAAAGGTATGGTCAATGATGTTAATTTTGAAATATTTGTCACAATATGTGATTTTCAGGCCAAAAAAAAATGTAAATTTGATCTTGACTTCTTTAATATGTTTTCATTGTTTGGAAAAAGTTTGTTGAGGGAAGGTGTAAAACTTTGTCTTAAAATATAAATTGAGACCTATATTAAATATTTTTAACAATATAAAAACGGTAAATATTCTCCGAGTAAAACTATGTGAGGCTAAATTTCCATTACATTAAATTTTATGAATGTGCAGATTTGCAGAATTTTCTGCTAAATATCCTTCCATCAAAAGAAATAGTCCCTCATAAATCTTGCTTCTTTATAGATTTTTGAGCAGTTTTTGAACTTGAAAGATGTATTGGCTGTCATGTTGATATCACAATTTAACCATCTTAGAATGAATGAAAAAGAATGCTGTATTTTTCCCATGCATTTTGATACTGGCCAAACAATTCTCGCTAATCCTGCTTCCTCCGTATCATCCAAAAGGGTCTTTAGCCTTTGGGGACAAATTGTTTCTTTAAAAAGCGATGCAGACTTGGCGAAAACAATGTGGATCTGTTTATTTCTAAAACAAAAACATCAAGTATTAGTAGATCATGTGCTTACTTTACTACTGGTACATGTTCCAGGGTAACTTGTTCAATTAGTTGAACTGTTGATCTAGTCATTGTCAAACATTTTTATTTTTTTATGAACTTTTTAAGAGTAAATATGTATTTTTTTCTGTTTACTTTGTTACTTTTACAAGAAAAAGTTGTCTTCAGAATAAACTTGATCAAATTTTATATTTATTTTGTTCCATAAATGATAAATTCTATTAAAAATGGAATTTTGTACTTAAAATTTGAATTTCCAAATCAGTCGATCATTGATCGATTAAGCTTCTCCAATTTTTCGATTTTGTAGGAGTTTGTAATCATTTAATCATATAATAAAACATTAACTGTCGTTTTGCAGTCAATACGATGATATAGCAACTTTCGAAGTACAATATTCACTTCGCCCTTTGGACTCAGTGAATATTGTACTACTCAGGTGTCTAAATCATCATAACAGCAATATTTGAGTAATATTTTTTGTATAAAGGTAGCAAAGGATAGTTTCGAATGAAGTACCGGTCAAAAAGTAGAAAAAATAGAGAAACCTGAGGTTTGACATCCTCACAATGTCAAGGGTTTGTGATTTCTCGAACTCCACACAAACCCTTGACCTAAGTCGCTTTTTAAAAGTCGGGTTCACGCTCAACAATACGTAAAAATCTTAAAAATAGACTGTCCAATGAAATAACTCCTTTCAAAGCGTAGTTTGGACTGAGTACAAAGATGGCGGATGTCGAAAAGAAAATATGTGAAAAATTCAATTTGAATAATCTTACCGAAAACCAAAAGCTTGCAATATCCAGTTTGAGAGAAAATCGTGATATATTTATTGGAACGAAGACAGGGAGTGGCAAATTATTGACTTATCAATGTGTTCCAATTGTGTACGGCGAAAATTCTGTAACTGTAATAATCGCCCCCTTGATCAGCATCATGAAGGAGCAAGTTGAAAGTCTCTCCAGCTTGGGATATAGGGCAGTGTATATAGAAGGGTCAACTGACGTAGAGAGAGTGGCAAGCGGTTACTATAATTTGTTTTTGGAAGCCCTGAGGTCCTGGTTGGAGAAACAAAGTGGAGGGATGCACTTAAGAACCCAGAGTTCAAGAAAAGACATCGCTTGATTGTGGTAGATGAAGCTTATACCATCATTCATTGGTAAGATAAAAAAAACTACAAATTTTTGGAATGATTAATTTACACTCACAATGTACATTTTATCCGTCAATGCTACCCCCCCCCCCTCAAAAAACAATTAATAAAGGATTGTTGAACATAATGAAATGAATTATTATTTTGTTATGAAACACTGTTAAAGTTTACTGTTATTATGATTAGGCAAAAATGACTTTTGTTTCCTGTCACCCGACCTACCCTTCATTTTACCCTCCAGCCCAATAAGTTTGTTGTTTTCTTTTCACATTTTTAATTTTTGAGGGCTATTTTCCTAAAATACTTAAGTTGACCGACAATATTTTCAGTATTAATTATACATCATAACTTTACACTACAGGATACCTAATAAATCTAATATAAACTTTTTAACATACTTTTTTCTTGTTATTACATGCTATGTGTTCTGCATGCATTGAGTTTTGAAAATAAAATGTACGTTTTCTCAATATGAAATTTTTTCCCTACGTATCTACCCTATTTTTTTGGTCAAGGGACAGGAAAACAGAGTATATTTTCGTTCGGTCTTAGTATGAAACACTGTTAAGTAACATACATGTATTTCTTTGCACTTTCTTTTGCGATAGTTGGTGCCGGATGATGGAAAAAATTAAGGCCCTTATTCACTTACACCCCCTCCCCCCAGATTATTTATGTGAACTATTAAAAATAATAATTTAAAAAAACATATGGTCATTGTCTATTGACCAAAGCAGCTATATATGCATTTTTTTTTGTTGTTTTCAGGGGAGAAGGGAAAAAATCAACAGGAAGCTGCATTCTGCGAGTGGATTAGTCACATAGGTGAACTACGTTCTCTCTGTTTAAAGGTTCCTTGTTTGGCATTGACTGCTACAGCATGTCCAAGTCAAAGAAGAAAAATAATGTCAAAATTGTGCTTCGGAAAAAAGGCTTGTGTGATATCTGACACCCCTGATAGAAAAAATATTAAAATCAGTGTTACTTAGGTATTATTGGGAAATAATTTCACTGGGACATTGTGTGCAGCAACGGACACTCTGATGTATGTATTTTTAGATTTTTGCTAAGTTTGTACTTAAGGATTCGTATATAACTGTAAATAAATAATTGTTAAGTTTAAACTGTGTGATTGATCTTTGCTGGTATTAAGGGTTATTCTGACCCATAATAATACAAGCAATCAATCTATTCCATATCAGCTGATTAAGGTCTTCAATCCCTAATAAGAAGAAATTCAATGAAATTGACTAGGAGACTTATTGTTCACATAACAATAAGAGGTCTTTCCACCTTTTTGAATTTCAATTTCATTTAATATTTATCTATTTAAAATTAAATTTCATAAAAAAGAAACCAGGAATGGCTTAGAAGGAGAAAAAAAAAATGATTTTTTTTTTTAGGTGAACTTGACCTTTGACCTTCAAGTTATATTCAAGGTCAAAGGTCAAGGGTCACATTGTAATTAACCCCATGTCTCTATGACTTATAGTTTTAAAGTTATAAGGTTTAATAGTAAGCACAAAAGCATTTAAGGGCAGTAACTCATTCAAGGAGTCACCAGATCCTTTTGCACTTGAACATAAATGTTTTGCCTAAAGTCATATAAGACATTACAGAAGGTTTCATGTCTTTGCGGTTTACAGTTTTGGAGCAATAGCAATAAAAATTCTTTTCGTACAAGGGGCAATAATTTTTTATAGGGTCAATATTCAGGGACAAGAATGAAATCTAAGACACAGTTTTAAAAGTACATATTAATGATGCATAGACATTAAGCATATGTTGACAGACAAAAGAGATATAAAAAGAGCTAAATTTCTCAGTTTTGGAATGACCTTGACCTTTGACCTTTACATGAATTTTAAGCTCAAAGGTCAATGAATCTTATGCAGTTGGGCTCATGTTTCTATACCTTCTTGTTTTGAAAATATTTAATTATTTCTAAAATTCAGAGACTTTCAAGGGCAATAACTCTTTGAAGGAGTCACCAAATACTTTCACAATGAATAGATTCCAGAACCCTCTCAATTAGTCGAAGACTTTAGTGAAGGTTTCATATTTGTACCGTTTACGGTTTCGAAGTAGTAGCGATAACAAGGTTTACCGCACAAAGGGCGATAACTTTTAATAGGGTCAATCTTACGGAATACGAATTGAATCATTTAAAAAGTTATAAGAGTACATATTAATGATGCTCAGACAGTTTGTATATGTTTAGAAACAAAAAAGATATAAAAAGAGCTTAATTTCTCAATTTTGGAATGACCTTGACCTTTGACCTTTACATGAATTTTAAGCTCAAAGCTCAATGAATCTTATGCAGTTGGTCCCATCTCTCTATCACTTCTCGTTTTGAAATTTTTTAATTATTTCTAAAATTCAAAGAGTTTCAGGGGCAATAACTCATTGAAGGAGTCACCGGATACTTTAGCAATGAATAGATTCCAGAGTCCTCTCAATGAGTCGAAGACTTTAGTGAAGGTTTCATATTTCTACGGTTTACGGTTTCAAAGGAGTAGCGATAACAAGCATTTCTTGCGAAAGGGGCAATAACTTTTAATAGGGTCATTCTTACGGAATACGAATTAAATCTTTAAAATAGTTTTAAGAGTACATATTAATGATGCTAAGATAGTTTGTATATGTTAAGAGACAAAAAAGATATAAAAAGAGCTTAATTTCTCAATTTTGGAATGACCTTGACCTTTGACCTTTACATGAATTTTAAGCTCAAAGCTCCATAAATCTTATGCAGTTGGTCCCATGTCTCTATCACTTCTTGTTTTGAAAATTTTTAATTATTTCTAAAATTCAAAAAGTTTCGGGGGCAATAACTCATTGAAGGAGTCACCGAATACTTTCGCAATGAATAGATTCCAGAATCCTCTCAATTAGTCGAAGACTTTAGTGAAGGTTTCTTATTTCTACGGTTTACGGTTTTGAAGGAGTAGCGATAACAAGCATTTCTTGCGAAAGGGGCAATAACTTCGAAAGCGGACATAGTTCATACGCGTTGGGTCAAATTTGTTCATAACTTTTAATGACCTTTACGATGAACAAAAAGTCTTTTCGATAAATGTCGAAACAAAAAATCAGCGGAAGAAGAATAATAATAATAACTAGATACGATCTCGTTGCGAGCAACGAGTGGGTCTTCCGTCCGATTCTTGATAAGATGAGATAAGATTTTGATTGAGATTTTCATTCTAAAATAATGATTTTCCAAAATCTGTAAAAAGACATTGAACATTAAAGACTTTCAAAAAATCAACTGTTGGCCCCTCACGGCCCCAAACATTAGGGACCAGCCCTTTTTCCTTCAAATCATCTTAAAGCTCTCATGATTTTGATGACTTTTTGTTCAACAACTATTCAGAGATTTTTTTTTCGTTTTTGAGTTATTCACATCAGAAATAGTTAGGGGCCAGCCCTTCAACTCCTTAATAGGGACGTTTAGCGAAAAATAAAAGATTGCATATTGTTTAGAACATGATTTGGAACATCATTTGTTCAATATTACTTATCAATATATTTCTCATTTTCAAGATATAAAGCGTCGAAGATTTAGCATTCTAGCCCCTTTTGGCCACTAATTACGTACCATATGACATGAAAATCATGATAAATAGTTGTAAATGGTTGAGGTAAACATCTTTGCTTAGTAATGTTTTACAAAATATTAACAACTAAAGAGTTATCGATTGAAGACTTTAAGCCCCTTTTGGTCCTAATTTAAGCGCCCAGCCCCTTTTTGTGATTTCATCTGAAAGCTCTTAGCATTTTGAACACTTTTTGTTCAATAACTTTTCAGAGATTCTTTTTCGTTTTCGAGTTATTTGAAAAAGAAATATTTAGGGGCCAACCCTTCAACTCCCTAATAGGGACTTTTAGCGAAAAATGAAAAGTTGCACTTGTCAAAATATTTCTCACTTTCGAGATATAAAGCATCAAAGATTTAGCATTCAGGCCCCTTGTGGCCCCTTATCATGTAATAAACGACATTAAAATTATAATATACAGTGGAAGATTGTTGAGATAAACATTTTTGCTTCAGTAATGTATAACAAAATATTGAGTGTTAAAGAGTTATCGAAAAAAGACTTTAAGCCCCTTTTGGTCCCTAATTTGAGTGCCCAGCCCCTTTTACCTGATTTCATCTAAAGCCCTTACTATTTTGAACACTTTTTCTTCAATAACTTTTCAGAGATTCTTTTTCGATTTCCAGTTATTTGAAAAAGAAATATTTAGGGGCCAACCCTTCACTCCCTAATAGGGACTTTTAGCGAAAAATGAAAGGTTGCATATTGTTTAGAACATGATTTTGAACATCTTTTGTCCAATATTACTTGTCAAAATATTTCTCACTTTCGAGATATAAAGCATAAAAGATTTAGCATTCTGGCCCCTTTTGGCCCCTAATCATGTATTATACGACATTAAAATCATAATATACAGTGGTAGATTGTTGAGATAAACATTTTTGCTTCAGTAATGTATAACAAAATATTGACTGTTAAAGAGTTATCGAAAAAAGACTTTTAGCCCCTCTTGGCCCCCCCCATTTGACTGCCCAGCCCCTTTTTCTTGATTTTGACTTAAAGCTCTTGTGATTTTGAAGACGTTTTGTTCAATAACTATTCAGAGATTCTTTTTCGTTTTCGGGTTAATTGCAAAAGAGACATTTAGGGGCCAACCCTCCAACTCCCTAATGGGGACTTTTAGCGAAAAATGAAAGGTTGCGTAATGTTCAGAACATGATTTTGAACATCTTTTGTTCAATATTACTTGTCAAAATATTTCTCACTTTCGAGATATAAAGCGTCAAACATTAAGCATTCTGACCCCTTTTGATCCCTAATCATGTATCATACGACATTTAAACCATAATATATAGTTTTAAAATGTTGAAACAAACATTTTTGCTTCAGTAATGTATAACAAAATATTGACTGTTAAAGAGTTATGGAAA